AAAAAAAAAAAAAAATCAAACAAGAAGAAAATGAATATGGCTTCGTTGTTAGAGAGTGACCGTCCATGCTAATATTAATCAAAGTCGACGGAATTCAAAAAAAAAAAAAAATTCAAAGTACACGGAGGGTCCCAGGTCCCCACTCCCCACGTCAAATGATCCAAAAATACACGCCAAATCACGACTTTGAATCACGACTTTGAAGACCCACATCTTTTTTTAACAGATTAAAATTATTTACATAGTTAATTAGAGTGAGATTCATGGAATTCGAACTCGTCATTTATAAGAGGTAAATTACTCTAATTCAGGGTCTGATGTCATTGGATCGAACTGTTTAATCCTTTTAACTATTTATTTAAAATTTTATAGGTGTTTGAAGACCCACCTTAAATGATCCAAGGGAGATATTTGATAAACATCTCACTTTTGACAAAGATAAGCCTCGGGTCATTTTATTAAGTGATTGTCTATTTGTTGTCCACATATATTATAGTGATTTATTTTTTAATTTTTCACCAATACTCTAGACTAGGAAAATAGACTTTTTTTTATACACCGAAGAATCAACTAGTAGGGAATAAATCACCTGTGCTACCAATTCTTCCTCATATTTCTCCACAATGGAAGATATGAGAGATTCAACTCCAGTGCCACAAATTGTGAAAATTGTGAGGATGTTTGTTAAGTTTCATCCGCTATTGATAGTTACTAGTTTTATCTTTAGGGTTAAATTACTACAGGATTGGATTGAAGATGAGCTGAGCAATCAATGGAAATTTCTCAAGGTTTATTGCCAATTAGCAATGAGAGCTTTGCTAAATCCAATTAATGAGAAGATGAAGAATCTATCTGAAGTCCTCCAAATGCATCTCAACAATGAAGCGACAAAGGGCCAGCTAAAGGCCAGGCTGATTGGTAAGCTTGCCCTCTCCTTCGCCACATTTCTCTTGCTGGATATAGATTTTTATTCAAAATATGATAAAAGTGGGGCCAAAACACTATTATTGTTGCAAGTTGCCCATGACCTGCTACATCGTTCGAACCTTTGGAGTCAACTCAAAATTCTACATGGAAGGTGTAGCTGCATAACAAATTCAACATCAAACTTCACCTTTTTTATTCTAGCACTTGTTTTTGCAAGATTTTACAATAATTCGTTAAGGACCTTGATTGCTGTGTTGTGCATCGCAATTTTTCTTTTGTGTGTACTAATTGTATTACAACCGCGGACAGATCTTGGGTTGTTTAGTTTCATCATTGGAATCATTGGATCGATTACTTACAACCGGTTCAAGTTCATGTTTCCCTCATGGATAATTGCCTCCATTTGTTTTGTGTTGATCAGTTTCAAAAGCTGGTTAGATAAGTTTTGGTTGGATTTGGAAGAAGATCAAGCATTGACCTTTACAAATACCAAGACTAGAAGAACTAGCTTGTTTTTGTTATTTTCATCAAATGTTGTAAATTTCGCAGCAGCTTTCCTTTCATCTTTTGTTGTCAAACCTCCCTTATCTAACTATAAAGATTGGTTAGCTAAGGCAATCCATGGTATTCTTTGGTGTGCTCGGGATAGCTCATTACCCCCTACAAATACCAGAAGAATTGGTGGTTGGATTTTAGCCATTGTAAATGTTGCACAAGGCATGTTCTTGTTTGCTCTTTTTACATTTCCTATGGCTGATTATAAAGACTGGTTATTTGCAATAATCAGTTATATAGTTTTTTGTTTTTGGTTACAAAGATTTTTACCCGAAGATCTATCACTACCCTCCACAAATGCTAAAGGAATCACAAGCATGATTTTGTCTTTGAAATCTGTTGTCACATACAGTGTTGTGGTGTTGGTTGGTTTGGAACCTTGCCTGTACTACAGAAATTGGTTAAATATGGTAATCTGTTATGTGCTTTGGTGGGTTCGATTTCCTACATCTTTTCCCAAATATCCGTTACTATCCCCTATAATTGAATTTAAAACTCTACAGTGGTGGACAGTGGCGATATTAATTAACACGGCTTCAGAGGTCATATCTTGCACCAAAATCGTGTAGAAAAACACAAAATCAACAAGGATGAAGATCTTGCATGCTAGATTGGAAGCACTTGGATATATAGGTTTCATTTGAGAAAACTTTTCGAGTCTTTAATTTTTAGTTTTTATGTCTTTTTTATTATTTTAAAAATATGTAAAATATTAATTAAAATAAATATTAAATATATTTTATATATTTTTAAAATGTTAAAGGAATAAATATTAGTATTGTCAAACTAAACTCTTCTCAAGAAAGAGAACCACCTTGCTCTTGATATCCTCATAGCCATTCTTATCAAGAGTGAAGAAGGGGGAGCACGAGTACACCTACTCCGCACTCCTACAGCCATCCTATCTTCACCTTCCGGAGGATTTGAAGGAGCAGCAGAGGTTGAATTGCATAACGAATCTGCCCGAAATGAGTGCTGAGTATTCCTTGGAGAAATTTTCAAAGCCAAGTAGCAGGCATTTTCCTTATAAATTATAATGAATGAGCACTCGATTCTCAACAAAAAGAACAAACTGTGGACAAGAATTATGCAGGCAGAAAACTCAGGAAGCTAGGTAGCAATCACAAAATTAGAATAGTCATGAGATTTCAGTGAGGCAAAAAAGCAAATACCCTGGGGAGTAAAGCTGGTGTATCATGCAGAAGCGAACTTTCTCTTGAAACTAATCACAATCTCCAAAAACAAACCCGCCGGAAACAAGCGAAATTAAAATGAAGAAACTTTATATCAACAAATTAAGAAGCCACAACCAAAGGCACCGGAATTTGCTCTTTGGTAAAGAAAAAAGAAAAAACCAGATGGGTTTTCAATTAGCACCAATATGGCATGGGATTAAAAGTGGCGAAAAGGTGTAGTGTTTTTTATATGGAAAGTTTTGGAAGGAGGAGGGGACAGATTGCTGTGGAGAAGATGAGGTTGGGTGCAAGGAGGTGACAGATTGCTGTGGAGAAGATGAGGTTGGGTCCAAGGAGGTGACCAAGAATCAACTGAAAAAGAATTTTTCTTTGATTGTAAAGTGAACCAGAGAGTTGGAGGGAAGCTAACCGTTCCGTTGGCCTAACTTCCCTCTGTTTTTCCTTCTTTTTATTTTTTTTTTCTTTTTATTTTTTATTTTTTTCAGGAAGCAAGCAAAGCGCGGAGATATCAACTGCCTCTCCCTCCAAAAGACAGCAAACATCTTTTTGAGTTAATTTCACTTATTATAAGACTTTTAAAAGGGCAAAGTTAAGGAAAAGAATTTATGATTCTTGGGAATATGGATGGTATGCATTACTTTTGTTGATGGAACAAGAAACAAATTTTCGTGGGTAGTTCTCAAGAAAAAAATTTATATTTTTTAATGCAATAAGTGTGGGGTGTGTTTTTCTAAAAATATTTATTGCGAGATTAATTTTAAAATATATAAAAATTAAATATTTTTGTTCATGCGTTGCACGGGTTATTTTAGTTCTTTATATTAGAACTTATATTTTATATTATTTTTTTATTAATTTTTAAATTTTATAATAATTTTTATTAAAATATTTAAATTAAGTAATTAAAGTTGAGTTTTAAATTATTTTTAATAATTAATGATAGTACTTTTTCAAAAATTATATAAAATCATATTTTAAAAAAGAATATTAAAAAAATTTATAAAACATTCATTATTAATCTTCATCTCATAATCTAAGAAAATTTGTTCTTTTTTTATTATTATCTTAATTAATAATTTATACGATATTTTCTTTTTTCTAAATTATAGAGTTAAAGTTAAATAAGAATATAATTAAATTTCTTCAAATCTTTTATTCTAATTTCTTCAGAATTATAATCAAATAACAAATAAAATTAAATATTATTTTTATTTATTTATTTTCTAGTTATTTTAGCGCATGCTTATTTGGGATTTAATTTTTTTTTATTTTATATTTATATTATGTAGTCTTCTTTGTCTATATTTTTATGATAAAGTTATTTTAAAGAAATGTAAATTGTATTTGTTAATTAAATTAGAGGACAAAAATGTCAAAGTATTTTGTATTATATATTAGAAAATATCTTTCTGAATCTATATTGCACGAAAATATTTTTTTTTTCTTTAAGGTAATTTTGCTTTTTTATAACTCAAACTGCACTTTCAGTGTATTCCAATTTGAAAAATTGAGCTCTTATGTATTGTAAATTTGAATTTTAAAACTCTTTTAATTAATTAAAGTTTGAAATTATTTTGATTTTATAACGTTAAATCTTGTCATTTTTATTTTATCTTGGTTCTTTTTCCAATTTTTTAGTGCTTCACATTAAATTTTGGAATATATTTAGTTGCAATAGTCATTATATTATTTGATTAAAATTTGAAGTCTTATTTATTTATTTATTTTTGAGATATATAATGGATTCAACTTTTTGTCATCTATTTTACTTAGATTACATTTGGTTGCTTAAATTATTGGTTTTGAAGTCTCATTTAGATTGGCCATATTAATTCTAATTTAGTCTCTTGTAGAGAGTTTAAATAGTTGACACTTGTCTCTTTATTTTTTTTTTGTTGGACTTTTTTTTTATCGATTTTTAATATTTAAATAGCTTTGCCTCTTCATCTTCTAAGAAAAAATTGATTCATATGGTAATGCAAAGGGAAGCATTATTTAGATGGCTTGCGTCTTCAAATACTGAAACAAAATTAATTAGCATGTTGCACAAAAAAAGAAAAAAAAAGTTAGATGAACTAATTTCTTCATTTATATTACAGTTTTAGTTTTTATTATGTTTTTTATAATGCATATCCATAATTAATACATAGGGTAGTATTTTTCTATATATTTTAAATGGCCTTACCTCTTTATCTACCAAGAGAAATTAATTAATATGATAATGCCAAGGGAAATATTATTTAGATGACCTTGCCACTTCATATATTTAGAGAAATTAATTAACATGCTGAACAAAAAAAAATAAAAAATCACTGAACCAATCTCTTCACCGTATAGGTTTCAAATTTTTATTATATTTTATGTAAATATAAATTTTAAACAGTCTTGCCTCTTCATTTATTAGGAGAAATTAATGCATATGGTAATACAAAGGAAAACACTATTTAAATGGCATTGCCTGTCCATATACGCAGAGAAATTAATTAGCATGCTGCAAAAAACAAAAAAAATGATTACATGAACCAATCTCTTCACCTATATTATGGTTTTGGGTTTTTATTATATCTTTTGTAAATACGTATCCTAATTAATACATAGGGTAGTATTTTGAAAAGAATGATAAGAAATAAATATAATATTATATTATATTTTAAATAAATACATACTATACTTAATACATAAGGTAGCATATTATTTATATACTAGACAATGGGTTATTTTTTTAATTTTTATATTAAAAATTAAATTTGATATTATTTTTTATTAATTACTAAATTTTATAAGCATTTTTTAGTCAAAAATTTTAATTAAATAATTAAGGTTAGATTAAAATTTGCTAATTGTCAATAATACCTTTTAAAAAAATTGTAAACACATTAAAAAGAAAGGATATTAGGATATTAAGAGAATTGAGAAAACCTAATTGAAGGATATTATATTATTATTCTTATAAAATTTCTACATATAGTTTAAAATTGACTTTAATAATCTTTATCTCATAATCCAAAAATATATGCTCTCTTTTTTATTACACTATTATTTCATTTAAGGTTTAATTGACTTCATTCTTAGGTAAAGGTCCTTGTCCATGAAATTTGGTTTATGGTTGGTTGCATAACCTTCAATTAGATATACAACATCAGAATTTTAAGGTAAAGGTAAAATACGAAAAAAAAAAAAAAAGAGAAAAATTAAAAGTTGGTCCTTAAACTTCATTTTTCCACTTTTCTTATTCCTAATTAAGGTACCTAACGTTTTCCATTCCCCTTCTCTTATGCATTTTCCCCATTTAATACAGTAATAAAAGCATTCTTTATTAATTTTAGTATTCTTAAATGTAAGTCTTTGACCAATCATAAGAATTTACTTATACTTACTACTCAATTTATGAGTTTTTTCCTTCATTTTCAGTCTAACATTTCCTTCTTCCAATATGTATTTTCATCATTTTCTTCTTTTTAATCTTCCCTATGTGTGGACAAAATTTTGATTGAAATAAAAATTCTAATTAAACCCTATCATTATCGATTTATTTTAATTCACTATCCTATCACAAAAGGTAACCCTTTATCGTTAAGTCTTTTTTCCTAAAAATAATATAAATAAATATATGAATTGTCCTCTCAAATCCTTAATTTGAAGAAAAAGTTAAAAAATAATTATTATTTTGAAATGAAAAAATTAAAATATAATTGGACTTGATAGGGGCTTAACCCCCATTTGGGTCCTTTTAAATATTTATTTAGAATTTTATAGGAGTTTTAAGAGGATTTATTAAAAATCTTAAAAGCCCTGTTAGGTATTTATTTAAAATTTATTAAAAATTTTAATAATTTTTATAATATAATAAGATTATATATACACTCCGCTTCCTTTCTTCACAACAATTAAGTTCGTTGAACCGAAGGAACCTAACTGTTAAGATTCTTTCTAGTTCTAGTATGTTTGTTAACCAATAACCGGTAAAGTCATAAGGCTGAATGATTTAAAGAAAGCAAAACCAACTCCACCAACTAATAAATCTTGTCGATGATAAAATCCAATCAGTTTGTGGGGTTTGAGAAGAAATAATAAAGTCATCAGAATCTTGAAGTCACTCCAATTTCTTAATGGAATGACTGGCAATTGAATTTTGATCTCTTTCTTCATAGGAGGACACGGTTTCTTGGGATTAATCCTTCATAACAACTTACAAAGTGTCATAATGCTAGACGAGGTGTTTGTAACAGAAAGAATCCAATTCATAAGTATGTAAAAAGAGCTCTTTTTTTTTTTATTTGGTATAGTTTAAATTGTAAAGTTTATTTTGTAATTTAAATGTATAAGACTATAGAATAGAAAACTCAAATGCATATAACCATGAAAAAGAGAATGACATAGTGATATCAAAATTTTTGTAACTTAGTTTGACAATACTAATCTATAGCTACTGCTATAGGTTTTTTTACTCCTTTAACATTTTAAAAATATATAAAATATATTTAATATATTTAATATTTGTGTTAATTAATATTTTACATATTTTTAAAATAATAAATGGACATAAAAACTAAAAATTAAAGAATTGAAAAGCTTTCTAAAACCAAACCTATATATCCAAGTGCTTCCAATCTAGCATGCAAGATCTTCATCCTTCTTGTCGATTTTGTGTTTTTCTACATGATTTTGGTCCAAGATATGACCTCTGGAGCCATGCTAATTAATATCGACATTTTCCACCACTGTAGAGTTTTAAATTCAATTGTAGTCGATAGTAACAGATATTTGGGAAAAGATGTAGGAAACCGAACCCACCAAAGCACATAACAGATTACCATATTTAACCAATATCTGTAACGTAGGCGAGGTTCCAAACCAACCAACACCACAATACTGTATGTGACAACAGATTTCAAAGACAAAATCATGCTTGTGATTCCTTTAGCATTTGTGAAGTGCAGTGATAGATCTTCAGGTAAAAATCTTCGTAACCAAAAACAAAAAGCTATATAACTAATTATTACAAATAACTAGTTTTTATAATCAGCCATAGGATATGTGTGAATAGCGAACAAGAACATGCCTTGTGCAACACTTACAATGGCTAAAATCCAACCATCGATTCTTCTGGTATTTGTAGGGGACAATGAGCTATCTTGGGAATTGAACTTACATAACCGAGCACACCAAAACATAATAGTGGTTGCCTTAGCTAACCAATCTTTATAGTTAGACAAAGGTGGTTTGACAACAAAAGACATAAAGAAAGATCCTGCTAAAATTACAACACTTGATGAAAAAAACAAAAACAAGCTAGTGCTTCTAGCCGTGGTATTTGTAAAGGTCAATGAGTGATCTTCTTCCAAATCCAACCAATACTTATCTAACCAGCTTTTGAAACTGATCAACACAAAACAAATGGAGGCAATTATCCATGAGGGAAACACGAACTTGAATCGCTTGTAAGTAATCGATCCAATGACTCCAATGATGAAACTAAACAACCCAAGGTGTGTTCGCGGTTGTAATACAACTAGTATACATAAAAGAAAAATTGCAATGCACAACACAACAATGAGGCTTCTTAACGAATTATCATAAAATCTTTCAAAAACAAGTGCTAGAATAAAAAAGGTGAAGTTTGATGTTGAATTTGTTATGTAGCTACACCTTCCACGTAGAATTTTTAGTTGACTCCAAAGGTTCGAACGATTTAGCAAGTCAAAGGCAACATGCAACAATAATAGTGTTTTGACCCCTTTTTTATCATATTTTGAATTAAAATCTATATCCAGTAAGAGAAATGTGGCAAAGAAGAGAGCAAGCTTACCGATCAGCTTGGCCTTTAGCTGACCCTTTGTCGCTTCATTGTTGATATGCATTTGGAGGACTTCAGATAGATTCTTCATCTTCTCATTAATCCGATCTAACAAAGCTCTCATTGCTAATTGGCAATAAACCTTGAGAATTTTCCATTGATTGCTCAACTCATCTTCAATCCAATTCTGTAGAAATATAACCCCAAAGATAAAACTAGTAACTGTCAATAGCGGATGAAACTTAACAAACACCCTCACAATTTTCACAATTTGTGGCACTGCAGTTGAATCTCTCATATCTTCCATTGTGGAGAAATATGAGGAAAAACTAGTAGCACAGGTGATTTATTCCCTATTAGTTAATTCTTCAATATGTAAAAAAAAGTCTGTTTCCCAGGCTGGAGTACTGGTGAAGAATTCAAAGATAAATCGGTATAATATGTGTGGACAACAAATAGACAATCACTTAATTAAATGACCCGAAGCTCATCTTTGTCAAAAGTAAGATGTTTACCATATATCTCCCTTGGTTCATTTAAGGTGGCTCTTTAAAGTCGTGATTGGCGTGCTTTTGGATCATTTCACGTGGAGTCCTCCGTGTACTTTGATTTTTTTTTTTTATTTATAATTCCGTCGACTTTGATTAATATTAGCACCGACGGTCATTCTCTAACAACGAAGTCATTCATTTTCTTCTTGTTTGAATGTTGTCCACAAGTGGATCCTTAAACAAATAGGATTTTTCTAAAATATGCACATAGTTAATATTTTTTTTTCATTAATTAATATTAAAAAAACAAAAATTAATAGTAATTTCATCTTTAATATTGTGCAAATCATTTTATTTAATGAGTTTTTTAATTTGTGTGTTAAGGGCACAATTAAGAGTATTTTTTTAATGTCAGTATTAAGCAAATTAATTTAATTCAACAGTTGATAAATTAAAAATTAAACTTTTTAATACAAATTTATAACAAAAAATATATTTAATACACTCTTAATCTATACATAAATACACAACTTAAATAAATCCTTAAATAATTAATTAAATAACTATCAA